ATCCTACCAAGGGTAGAAAACCCATTTGAGGAGAGTCAAGCATGCTCCCAATTTTTGTCCTTAATTTGCTTCGACTGGCAATAGGTTACTGTTTCGTCTAGGAAACGACTTTTGAGCCCATCATTATAACCATTTGATTGTCACGGCTGCTACCATTACCACGTACATGCGAATAAATTCTACTACTCGATTAAGGCTTTGCACATACGTTACATAAATATATTTAACAATAAATTGGTGAAGGATAATTACATGATTAACTACAACTGGTGTCTTTATTCTAATACTGCAATTACTGGGACAATGTGATGAATTTTTATGTCAGACAGGCAAGTCTTAGTTGAAAACGCATTGAACAGTAGCCCTGCAGCTGCTATCTTGGGTGTCACCTTTTGACGCCTCTGCTTTCCTTAGCAAGAAATCACTTAAACTCAGGTTCTGATGGCTAAATAATTCTCTTACTTGAACTCATTAACATGAGTGGCTCAAATAATCCAAATTTCATTTCGATAAATATTTTCATCGTGAGCGTTACAACTATTCGGTTGGGCAGTGTTTTGCTAGTGCAATTGAAAACCTATGCCATGTTACTGGTGTACTCCAGATTTCTTTCACTGGCCACCTGTTGCATCATTGAGTGATAGAAATGGATACGATCAATGCCACTGCCATCTTCTCAAGGCTTCTCCTTTTACACTCCTTCAAAGTCAAACTTTAAAAGGAAATCAAAGAAGCATGTAAGACATCACTTTATAATTTTTTCTACTCTCCTTGAAATACTAGCACACACCTATAACATCATGTAGAGATCAGCTCGGTTTTATCGCAACAAAATGGTTTTAGCAGATTAAGCACCTAGTAGTCACAGACTCGACTCAAACATTTCTTTTAGAATTGCATGAGCAACTAGACCACACATGCAAAAAGAATCTGGTTAACTTTTTGGGCTTAAGATACTGGTGTCCAGAGATCACCTTAGACGTATTTTATTTTTATCAAATCTGCGTCAGTTGCAGCAGCTTCAACAACTTTCACCTCTCAGTAA